ACACACACACACACACACATATTGAATGTATGAACTCCCCCGTAGCGACACATGTACTCTTCAGATGACTCATCAGCACATCCATAATTCATTGTGAGCTCCAGGCGAGTCGTACATTATCCGGAAGTGTGTTTGTGAAAAAGACAAGACGGAGCGGGAAGAAGAGGAGACGCAACCAGAGCAGCAGTTTGTATTTGTATAAATATACATTTATAAGTGTAAATCTCTCTGTGGGAAACTGCAACACACAGATTTATTTCCAGACGCTGAGACGTCTAAATGAAGCTGCAGTTTATGGACGTGTGTCTCGGTCTCGTACCGGCGTGCTGTGTCCCAGCTCTGGAGATCTCTCAGAGTCCGAGCTGTTGGTGCGTTCACTCAGAGGTTTGGACAGCTGTCGCTCCTTCATGGGCGTGCTGCTGCGCTTCTGTCGGGGGGTGTGGCCTCCGTCCAGCCTGGGGACAGACACAGAGCTGACGTCTCCGGAGACAGACTCGGCAATGTTCATCTTGAAACGACGGAGCTGTGGCTCATTTGTTACCTTGGTGACGGCATGGGCTGCATTTCACTCTTGCTGCTCTTCATGGGCGTACGGGGTTTCTCTGCCACCGACACCGTGATGCAGGGGCCCACCTCGGCAAACAGCTCCTGGTCTGTTAGCTCCTACACACACACACACACACACACACACAGAAAGACAGACTGTCAGTGTCACAGAGAGAAAGGGGAGGTAACCCTAAAGACATCTCCTCCGACACTCCATCCCTTGGTCGCCCTCCTCTCCTCCGCTCTCTCACTCAGTGACACTAACAAAGATCCCGACGCCATTAATTCACTGTCGTTCTCACAGTGTGTGTGTGTGTGTGTGTGTGTGTGTGTGTGTGTGTGTGTGTGTGTGTGTGTGTGTGTCGGAGTCGTACCAGTGTGTCGGTCTCAGACAGGGCCTCCTCCAGGTTGCGGCTGCGGGAGGGTTTCATCTTCTCTAGAGGAGGCTGCTCCCCCTGCTGGGGAGACAAGGGAGTATCAGTAACAACATGGATTTTCTGTTTTACAGAAATAAATGTTAGTTTCTGAATTGTGTTATGATGCTTCAAGTGTTTTTATATTTATTCATTATTATTATCATTATTTAAAAACACAACAAAGACTGGAATTATGGTTCAGTGGTGGAAAGACGGTGAACAGATTTGGATTTGAAGTTCAGGGACAAAAACAAAGCAGAGTGGTTCTCACGCTCCGCCAAACAGCCGCAGACATTTTTAACCAGACACATGTCACGGTGACCTTTGACCCCAGAAATCTAATCTGAGTCCAAGTGACAACTTTGAAAACCCCCCTCCAGACAGACGTGAGATATCAAGTTCAAGAGGCCAACATGACCTTTGACCTTGAAATCACATGTTGTTTACAGCTCGTCCACACCGGCGTCGGCCCTTAACACCAAAACATCTGGAACCTCCTCGTCTTCGTCTTCTACGTGTACGGCTGCACATGTTTGTGTTCTTCCAGTTTAACGTCCGTCACGTGTTAGAAACCTCAGAGACATCAAGTTCAATACTGACGACGTCTGTGTTAGTTTACGTCTGACGTCCTTCAGGGGACAGTGAGAATTCACAGCGCTCAGCTCCCGGTGTAACTGGGGCAGATCAGGTTTTCTGGAGCACGACGGCCGACACAGGAAGTTAAAGCGCCGCCGACGCTTCCTCTCAGTGAATCTCAGTTACTCACCGGACTGAACGGGTCCCGGCCCAAACTGCCTTTGCTGTTCAGACTGCCGATCTCCGTCTGCGAGCTGGACTGAGACATTCCCTCGAAGAACGGCCTGAAAATACACACGAGGAAATGTTGTTTTATTATCATCGTAGAACTTTTCAAGTGTCCTGACACCGATTTATCAACTTATAAAAGCTGCTTCGCTTTTCTGTTTGGTGCTAAAATAAGATTCAAATAAA